TAGGATTCAGATGGACTGCTTCACTATGGAACACTGTTTCTCACCTGTTGCTATTTATTTTGTTCCTGGGCTGTTGACAAAAGCAGCGAAGTTATCGATTCATCAATTTTTCGTTGTGCAATGTCTACACTGATACTGTGCTCAATAGTTCTTCCAAATGATCCCAAATCTATTTTTAAAGTTCGCCGTTGTAGCCTTCTCGTCACTGCCTCCACAGCCCTAATTTCAATTAATTTCCTTCTGAAAGACCCACCATAATTTAATTATTTTCTTTGTTTTCATCAAGCCTTGCCCATATTTGTTCAGACATTTTCGGGAGCTAGAGAGCCTTTGTGGGGCTTTTCGGATGTGGAATGGAGAGAGGCTCAGATGTAATGAGTGAATATAGACCTGTAGGTTGGATTTCTTCACCGTTTCTGCCTCATGAAGCTGCGTCATTTAGGTAGCCGGTATCCGACTCAGGAAGAGGCGAGCTGTCCCCGGCCAGGATGCGTCTGCAACAGCACTCACGTCACCTGCATCGGCTCACGGTTCAGGAATTCCGACGTCTTCCAACAGGTAGGAGCTTCGTCGACATAATTACGCTGTCCTTACCTCCCCATTTCACATCACTTTTCACCGTTTGCATGCGGGGAGATAGTACCGATTATCCAGACATAAAATTGATGATTATTTTTAAGTGCATGCAGTAATATAGCATGATTGAGCTGCTGAGAGAATTCCATTGGTGATTTCCCCTAACTCTGCTTAATTTTGCCTTTTTTCTGTCGGTGGGTTTGCTGACTAATCGGAATTTTTGCGCTTTCTCCCACATGCCTGATGCTTTATGTGCCATCGTATCGCTGACTAACACACGGCATTAATGGGATGAGTTGGCTCCTCTGAGCGGAGGAGTATGTTTCCGTCCCTCTGATTTTTCATCAAAACGATCTAGCTGACGATCGATGAATCAACCACAATTTTTACCCCATTCGTGTACAACTGCAATAACTAAGAGCTGAGAAGTTGGTGTTTTTCCAAAAAATCTTTTTCATATTAAATTCATTCATGCACGATTTGGATGTCAATGGATCCGCTTTGAGGAATGGTCCCCCGATGTTCTTTTTTGAAGTTTTTATCAGCACAAAGAGAAAGGTTGGAAGTCATTCAAGCAGCATTTTACCATCCGAAAGTAATCCCTGAATTCTGACAGTCTCTGGAATGGCCT